ATGTTGAAACACTAACCCCCAACATAAAGGCTTTTTTGTTTGTTTGTCTTTCGGTTTTTTGCCTTGAAATTTTATTTATTTATTTTTTTATTGAATTGTTGTCAGTTTACAATGTTGAGTCAATTTCTGGTGTACAACACAATTCTTCAGTCATACATGAATATACATACATTCATTTTCATATTCTTTTTCACCATAAGCTACTACAAATATTGAATATATTTCCCTGTGCTATACAGTATAAACTTGTTTATCCATTTTCTATATAGCCAAGGCATGGAAACAACTTAAATGTCCATCGATAGATGACTGGATAAAGAAGTTGTAGTATATTTATACAATAGAATACTACTGAGCTATAAAAAATGACAACAAAATGCAATTTGCAGCAACACAGATGTCCCTGGAGAATGTCATTCTAAGTGAAGTAAACCAGAAAAAGAAAGAGAAAGAAAAATGCCATATGGTATCACTCATATGTAGAATCAAAAAAAAAAAAGACAATGACAAATGATCTTATATATAAAACAGAAACAGACCCACAGGCACAGAATGCAGACTTGTGGCTGCCAGTGGGGAGGAGGGTGGGAAGGGATAAACTGGGAGTTCAAGATTTGCAGATACTGACAGGTGTACATGAAACCCAAAGGCTTTTAATGATGGGAACTTTGGAAAGTAATTTGTTTTAGATGAGGTCATGAGGGTGGCGAATAGGAAGAAACAACAGAACTTCCTCTCTGTACTTTCCACCCTATGAGGAAACTAAAAGAAAAGTGCCATCTTCAAACCAGGAAAAGGACTTTCAACAGACATGGGCTCTGCGGGCACCTTGATCTGCGAGTCCCCAGCTTCCAGAACTGTGAGAAAGGACTGTTTCTTGTTAAACTTACCCTGCCTATGGTATTTTCATTGTAGAAATCTGAACGGATCAAGACAGGGTTATACCATGACCTGAATTAGAGAATGATTTTTGCCAATGTGGATTTAGGTGTGGGGTAATTGTGCACATGGGCTTTGGGCAAATCTTGTACCAGGAAAAAGTCTTTGTTATGACACCACTTTTTTTTTTTTCTCTGATGTACTGGTCAGAAGAATCAAAATGAATGCTAGTTCAAAAGTATTCTGCAGATGAATTAAAGAAGTGCATTTAAAATAAATGAAAAACAAACAGAAAACAAAACAGAAAGGAATGCATAAGACTATTAGAATAAAATGAGGACCATCATTTATTATAGTCCCTGATGGTCCAGGTTTTTTCCCCCTAATCACACAAAGAAAGGCAAAGTTCATAAAACAAGATAATAGATAAGTAGGTACATAGATAAATAGATAGCTAAGTACATCGATAGAGAGAAGTGTATCAGTACCTGTTGGTTAAAAAGCCCAAAGACTAATTAAAAAGGAAATTACAAATCAAAAGAAATATATATTAACATACTAAACACAGAAAAAGCAGTCACAAAACAATTAGAAATGTTCCTAGTTATCTTTTAACCTTAGAAAAAGTTGCTTAGAATTTCTGAGCCTTTATTATTATTAGAAGAGGGTAATAAAGATATTTCTCTGTATGTATGAAATAAGGCGTATAAAACTTGTTTCCTTATTCCCTGACATATAGTAGCCACCCTATTTGTAGTTATTTTAAGATTATTTTATACCCTGATTGATTAAAATCTCTTGAGTGCGGTCTGTAAAGTCCTGTGTGACCAACCCCTACCTATCCTGTAAAACTCCAGCTCTTGGGGACCCTGAACTAGCTGTGTTTCTTCTTTTTTTTCTGCTTGGAGCTCTCTGTGTGACTGGCTTCCTGCTCACCCTTCAGGTCTAAGTTCAGTGGCAATCCTCCCAGAGAGGACTCCCCTGGACGCTGCATCTAAATAGGTCCCCGACCCATCCCTGATCACACTCCATCACAGAAGTTTAATTCAAACCTTTGTTTCCTTCCTAGTGTTTGTCCCAGTGTGTGAGTCGAATTTTGCACCCTTCCCCCAAAAGATAGGTTCAGGTCCTAAGCCCTGATACCTGTAAATACAGCCTTATTTGGAAATAAACCTTTGCAGATGTGATAGAGCTAAAATGAGGTCACGCTGGATTTGAGTGGTCTCTAAATCCAATGGCGATATCTTTATGAGAAACAGGAGAGGTGCATTTGGACACAGGTGCACAGGGGATACACAGAGAGAGAAGAAGATGGCGGCAAAGACTGGACTGCTGAAGCCACAAGGCAAAGAAATGCCTGGAGCCATGAAAGGCTGGAAGAGGCAAGGAAGGTTCTCCTCCTAAAGACAGAGAGAACACGGTCCTGCCGACACCTAGATTTCAAACTTCCAGCTTCTGAGCTGTGACGGAATGAATTTCTGTTGGTTGAGCCACCCAGTTTGTGGTGATTTGCTACAGCAGCCCGAAGAAATAAATACAAACGGTCCAAAAGTTAACTTATTTATTTTTGGTGCTTTGTTTATTATTTGTCTCCCCTCAGGAGCACATGCACAGAATGAGAGCAGAAGGTTATCTTCTTCACCAGAAACTGAAATGATGCTGACTGCAGCACCGTGAGTACTTACCGAATGAATGAATGAACAAATGAATGATGAGATGAATACAACAAAAAAGTCAATTATGATTCATGACAAATAACCAGTGTCTATACTGAAATAATTTCCACTTAATAGTCAAAGACCTTCGGTTAAATAAGAATGAGATAAAACCTTTAATCTGTTAAATTGGTGTTTAAAAGCTCTGATAATAGTCCCTTTCAGCAGTGATAAAGATGCAAGAGCTCTTACCTCTCTGCTGGCAGATATTAAAATGGCGTAACATTTTAGGAAAAAGAATTTAATAATACATATTCTTTGACTCTTTCAGTTAATTTATTCTTAGGAAGCCATCATAGTGGTTAACGTCATTTTGTTTTCTGTAACTGCATTCCTCCTGGAGTTCCTTCCATGCTGTTTATAATAGTTTAAAACCCTGAAATAAAATAAATCATAATGTTGACTAAATAGATGCTGGTCCATTATGAATTTCATATACATAAATATAACTTTATATAAAATATTTTAATGACATAGAGATCTGCTTCCACTTTATTGTTAAGTGAGAAAGATATTGGGCTATAAAAAGGAATATATTACTGTACCAACTTGTGAGCATCTAAATACATTTGCGTATACATGTTTATATGTTTTGCATATAACAGATATAGTCTAAAGCCTGGTTAGGTTAATAATAGTTACCTCTGAGTTGTGGGGTGCCAGCAATTTTTCTTTCTTTCTCTGTGGTTTTGTGTATCTGCCTTTATTTTCTACAATGAACAATTATTACATTTAGAGTGAAAAAAATAGTTATAAGATGAGAAAAATCAAAGAAATTCTTTCTCACGGCTCAGCTGCAACACGTCCTTGGATGAGGCTATTGCTGCTTTTATAAATGATAAGCTTGAATCTTCTGTCAATAATGCATTTAAGGCTAAAGACTTTCCACAGCTAATGATGTGGCACAAAAAATAATTAGCCGATTTATAAGTCAGAGTTCATTTATACTTCTGTTGGGAAACCTAATACTGTGTTACCTTAGCCTGCGCCTTGATGATACTGTAACTTGACAAGATGTGGAGTAGGAGGCAACGCAGCCGGAGGCACAGCAGCGGGAAGCTCAGACACGGCTCTGCTCTATGGAGTAGAACGGCTTTAGCGACGGCCGAACAGGTGAGCTAAAGTTATGTTCATAGAGGGGGGGAAACCTCTAATTAATGAATTTGCTAATATTATTTCTCCTGTGGCCATCATTTTTTAATTATGGAGAAAGTAAAAAAAAAAAATCACGTGTTTAAGAATTCAAGGTTTCATGTTGAAATCTGATATTCCTGACCCCGTACAGAGGCACCTGGGCTGCTCTGTGAGGATGGAAACGAGAAATGTAGTTAGCGGGTCTGTGCTCTGACACGGCTGGACAGGAGATTCCTCAGTCACTCGCTCCCAGCAGCAAACGGAACCACAGGCTCAGGGAGAGTCTGGTGGGGCGACGCAGCTGACAGCAGGTGGCACCAGCCCACTGCACGCCAGCCCTGCGTCTGCTTCCTTGAGTTACTCATTTAACTCGTGAGGGTGCTTTCCTCACTCTTAAGTTAGCGCAGTAACATCTACAGTTTTTCTTTAGTGCCTAATAAGTGCTTTGAAAATCAATGATTGTCTTTTCTCAGGGGAAGCGGGCCCCTATTTCTGTTCGATACCCCAAAGGCTCTTTAACTGTTCTGCTTTAGAAACATAGTCATCACTCTTGACGTAGTTCATTTGACTCGGCTCAGTTACCTGGAGTCCCTTCCTTTTCCCTGGTCAGAGGTGGGAGAGTCTGACTCTCTTTTGATGTCTCAGTCTTCAGGATAAATTTTCACCTCCTCGACCTACTTCTCTATAATTACCTACCAAGAATCTCAAGCATCCTAAGTTATAACATACAAAGGCAAAGGAAGGCCACAGACCAGGAGTCTTTTCCTATCATGCGGGACCTACTGTCGTTTTCAGTAATCTGCCAAGTCAGACTTACTGCTCCCCTGTGTTTGGCCGTCTTTTGGGTTTGAACCAGTGGTTGACTGGACCGGCCAGATCAGTGACTCTCAAACTCTTTGGCTTGAAACATGAGCATTTAGTTGTGTGAGACGGTCCTGCATTAACACAAAACTGTAAAACAAAGTGGTGGTGAGTCATCATTGTGTTACTGCTTTTTCCTGGTGTCACATTCTTATATCTTATTTGCAGTAAATTACATTGTACATATATTTAGTAGAGTCATACATGACAAGTGTTTCAAATTAAACCATGATTCACTGGGAAATTTTGAGATCTTTCGATTTGATTGGGCTGTAAGTCTTATCTTATCATTCTTCTTTTTTGGGAAGACAAAAATTAATTATAACTGCCAAGGTTTCCCTTATGAGGTCCAGGGTTTTGAACTCTGTAAGGACACTCCACACCCAATCACTACATCTTAAATACCTGGCACATAATTGTTACTCCAAGTACTACTTATTGATTGAACCAATAAATGAATGAAATGTTGAGGGTCTGTGACATTCCTGTCTTAAGTTTGCATCAGATATAGGAAGACGATTCTAAAATTATTAGAATAATTATGGGAGAACAACCAGAGTTTGACCTAGTGCAGGCTACTTTTGCAAGCTGTTGATGAAAAAAAAAAAGTAGAGAAATTAGCTTCGAAGCTCTTTTTCAGACTTTGGAGAAGGAACCCTAGTGAGGGACGAGCCAGTCTGGAATTACCACTACAATTCTTCCATCAATTCACCACTCTAGCCCCAAAGGTCACCCAGAAAATGTTCTTACAGGGTGTTCCTAACTTTTCCTTTACTTTGTGTTTTTTAGGAAAACCAGAATGAATCACAAAGAAACAAACATCACACAATTAATCTTCATTTGCCTGCAAGTTTTATACCTTTCATTTCACCTAGACATTTTTCCTCAAGTTATTTTGCTCATTGAAGTTCATCCACATGTATCTTAAGGGTCACTCACATGTGACTAGCCTTTGGTTTAGGGACAGTGTTTTCTTCTTTTTTTAAAGAATGATAATAAACACATTTAAAAGCTACATTGAAGTAATTATTATAATAAGACCCCAGAGGCACCATAAAACAGATGAGAAGCAAACTAGAGTAATTTTTTGTTTGCTTTAGTTGAATAATAATCATTTCTGAAAAGTACTTTTATTCTGAGCTGAAGAACGCTTGCTTTTCTTGTTAGTTTGTTTAATATTTTATATAAATCAAATAAAATACAATGATTCTGTGATCTTTAATTTGAGAACTCTCTCATCTGAATCCACATTTATTAAGTTAGCCCTAAGCCAGCTTATCCCAGTTAAGACGGAAACAGAAGATGTCAGGTGACAGTGTCAATTTCAGTATCAGGAGCAGCGTTAGAACAGTGTTGTAAATGCACACACCGGGACAGCGCTGTTTTAAGGAAAAAACAGCGATGTATCACCCTCACTGAAGGATCTGTTGCTGCTCCTGTCCTGTACCTTGAGCTTTAATCACCTTTGAAGGCCAGAGTTTCTGCCCTTCAGATATTTGCAGTCAGTGAAGCTGCTGAATTAGCCTGTGGTCAGAACAGAAAGATGAAAGAATTACATTGCATTCTGAGCCATGGCACATTGTTGTTCTTTCCAACCTTAGTGTTACTGTGAACACACACTGGCTCATTTACAATTTAAAGAGAAATTTTTAAACAACTGCAGTTCACTGTGTTAGACATGTGACAGGTGCTGAAAAATCCTCATAAGCGCACGCACAGAACACATAGTGGCTGCATGTTCTCTCGTGTAGAAAACATTCCCTTTTCACTCATGGAAACTCTCAGGAGTATGGCAGAGTGTGAGCATGAAGGCACTGAAAGCTCAGCTCAGTGTCTTGTCGCTGGAAGCTCACTGCGGCGTCGGCCTTGACATGACCTATAGAATTTTACGTTGGCAGGAAACCAACTTTGAAATTTGTTCTGTAGCAAATCATTGTGGCAATATACTTCCAGGAATTAAATCCTTTACATCGCATGGCAGTGTTGCCAAAGAGCGTGTAGGGTCTCTTCTGATAGAAACCGCGAAGCAGGCTTTGGCCAGAAATTTAGAGCCATATGTTAGCCCTGTCAAAAATGATATGGATCTGCTTACAAAAACCTTGCTCAGTGGCTCTGCCAGGAACCCTGTGGCTGTGTCCTGCCGGAAAGCCATTGCGTGCGTTATCAATGCCAGAAACTGACGCTGCCCTGGGATAATCTAACAACACTAAAAACTCAACCTCTGGATTTCCACTGCCAGACCTTAACTATTAACAGAGTCTGTGAGTGTTTTACAGGGAAGTAAGGCCTGTCTGCCCTCTCCAGGGTGAAGGTGGGCAGTCCTGTTGGCTTCAGGTCCTCAGAGTTAATTAGCTCTTTGGAAAGGATTTCTGGCTCGGATTAGAGCAGTTATTTGTTTCCTGACGTGCGTGAACTCTAGCTAACATTTTCTCGAGAATGCACTTGAGTGATAGTTTTATTTACAGAGGAAAATGGACACATTAAAACCAAGATACTTTGTTTGCAAGAGAAAAATTTAGTATATTATAAAGCATCCTAAATAGCAGCTCATGGTTGCTGCACAAAACCTAGAATGTTCTAACAGCAAAGTTCCCAGTGTCGATATTTGTGGCATAAAACCAGTTGATGACAAGTAACTCGCATAGTCCCCAGTGTAGTCAGTATTACACACAGACACTTCAGGGTGAATATATCTTAGTGGGAAACACGCCACAGAAGTCCATGCATTTATTTGGCATAGTTGAGATGCAATTGTTTTAAAGATATTTCTGTTTTGAATCAATGAGCATGTTTACAAAGTTTTGTAAAGCTGTGTTGCACAAAGTGTGGTCCACAGACTTAGGACTGTTTCTGAACTGTTTGTAATTGGTCCACAAACAGGTAAGTACAGGCTATCAGGGAAAGTGCTTAGAAAATTTACGGCAATTTAATGTTGCTGAAAATTATTATTGTGTTTCATAAAATGCCAGTCTGAAATAAATTAGAAATTGAAAAAAATCTCTGCATCACAGATAGTTTGAGGAGTACATGCTCTAGAGACGGCAGATTAGTTCCCACTTCCTCGCCTTATGAGTACGCATTGCTAGTCAATTACAGACTGATTCGGCCATTCGTCTATCACTGTTCGTTTAGGCTTTGTCCACCATTTTTCTTCTGTTATTAGTAACTCAGTTCTACAATCTTCATACACTAATGTTTGGGCGTCTTGAAATTTCTGTAGTGAAACGGTGATGGGTCAGCTGGTGACGCCAGCGTGACCCCCTTCTCCTTAGCCAGCCCCATCCCGAGGACTCAGAAGGAGATTATTTTGCCAAGTGCGGAGTTCTTGCGTATCAATTCCTTCACCCACATGGTTGACCCCAGTTGAAGAACCACATGTAACTTCTCTTATTAGTAACAGACATAAATTAATTCGCAAGCTTACTTTGGCCCTTACTTTCATCAAGAGTGTAATGAAATTGGGTTCGTGGTCACATGGTTTGATTCCCATGACTTCCCATAATTTCTGTCACCTGTTATTTTCACCACTTAGATTCTTAACAGATCTGGGTTTCACGTGCTGCTACCAGCCCCCACAGGTGATACACAGTCTCCATTTTGTTTTCAAAATTAGGTAGCCTTGTCTATCTAATCCACCTCTTTTTATCCAGTAACTACTTTAAGAGAATTCGGTGACAGCTGGGCTCCAAACCGCGTGCTGGGATTACAACAGGGAACGGTGGCAGAGACCATCTCTGCTGTCAGGTGCTCTCCATACAGCAAGGGAGGAAAATGTCAACGTGATTATTCACATGACGACGCAAATGCTAACAGAGGCAAAGGGACTAACCCACCGAACGTCGGTCCAAGTCGCGCGACGCGGTAACACATGCAGCCGTCCCGCAGTATCCGTGGGGGGTGGTTCCAGGCTCCTCGCAGACACCGCAATCTGGGAATGCTCAAGTCCCCTACATAAAGTGGCACAATATTTGCATTTAACCTTCACACACCCTCCCATGTACTTTAAATCATCTCTAGATTACTTACAACACCTAGTACAATGTGTAAAACCCCAGAAGATATGAGTGATGAGGAGATAGGCAACCTATCCAAGAAAAAGTTCATAGCGATGATGGCAAAGATGTTCAGAGAACTCAGGAGGCGTGTAGGCACAGAGAGAAGTTTTCAAGAAAGAGCTAGGAAATGTAAATAACACCCAAACGGAGTTGAAGAATACAGTCCCTGAAATGAACTGTACCTGAGAAGGACCCAAGAATAAACTAAATAAGGCAGAAGAACCAATCAGGGAGCTAGAAGACAGAGTAGTGGGAATCACCACCACAGAACAGAGGAAAAGAAACGAGAGTTTAAGAGACCTCCGGGACAATGTGAGTATTGAATTTAGAGGAATTTTAGAATACTGACGTAAAACTTTATAAGAAATGCAGAATTAAGATTTTAACTTGAATTAACCCAATTATTTGGGGAATCATTTTCGTATGATTTGCATATTTTGTACTATTCAATAGTAATATCAAAATCTTCTAATTTTTGAAATCAATAGGGAATTGCTATTCTTTTCTGTGTCTTACGTTTATTGTTATGATATTTCTATGTATTTCACATTTCTTGCCATTGTACTTCAGATACTTATCTTCCGTCAGTCACCTATTGTGTGAATATCGTTACTGTATGCACACTCTTCTAAAATGATGTTAGCACTTAGATGGCAATGATATGCTAGCTGATATTAAAATGGGTGAATTTTTTGTTTTTGTATAAGCTCTGGAAACTTTTATATAACAGAACCCTTTCCCCTCCTTTTATCTTTCTTCAACATGAACGTCTCCTTTTGCAAAAGTTGGCATCTGGCTTTCTCTTTTTGACGTTTTCCTCCAGCTTCAGATGTGTGTTTTCACGTTTGATCTATTGTTCTCTCACCCCTTGAGTCATCTTATCTCCCCACAAGGAGCCAGAGGGGGGAAAATGCTTGCTTCCCCTTTGAACATGGGATTTAAAAATTAGATAAACCATTATTAACACAACCTCCCAGCACAGGACTGTATAGAGGGGCACATATTTAATAGATGAGTGCAAATTAGTTCAAGGTCTCAGGAACAGGTCTCCAGAATGCTGGAACTTTTAAGAAATATAATTGAGACTTAAATTTAATTGTTTTAATATAAGCACCTTCTGCTACTGAGATGAAGTTTTATAGCCAAAGAACTCACATGGAGTAAGCTTGCATGCCGTTCCCAAGGATGCCTTCACGTTTGTTTTTTCAGGTACATGACGCACATCATGGCAGTTGACATTTTTCTAAAGTGATGTAAAGTTCTGTCGCTTTCAAAACCTAAAGAACTGAAAACCAAGTGATTTAGTTTTGCTTTGTGTCATTACTTTTATTGAAGAAGTATTTATGGGTCCTCTCTTTGTGCCAAGATCTGTTCACATTTCTAAGGCTATCACACCAAAATCTTGGCCTGGTGAAGTTTTTATCTGGAGGGCATATCATAAGTAGAAAAACAAATGAATACTTTGGATGGTGGTAAGGATCTCTAAAAGAAACCTACAAAGCCAGGCAGTGAGCCAGGCGGGTGTTGCTACTTCAGCTAAGACTGTCACACGAGGCCTTCCCAAGAAGGTGGGTTTTAAGGTAAATACTGAGAAGGGGACAGTCACGCCAAGAGCCTTCCAGAGGGAGGACAGAGTAAATGCGAATTACCTAAACCTCTAAGCTTGGCCCCACCAGGAAAACGGTCTCTCTGGAGCATGGTGAACAAGGAGAGACTGACAGGAGCTCAGAGAGTTAGCCGGGGCCTCCGCAGCTTGAATGCTTGCTTCCCTCACGAACACCGAGACCCGTCAATCAGAGCACCCCACTGTCTGCCTAACGGTGGTAGACGCCCAGGAAAAGACACTTGAAACGCAGTCTCCCAAAAGGAGGACACATCTTTAGTTACAGCTGTTGTTTTAAAATAGAAACATACGAAAGCTAAAGTTGAAAGTTGATTCTGAGTGTTATGTTCTGTGTAGCAGAACGCGTGGTCCAAAGGCTGACTTCTTTTCTCACAAATTTTAGAAAACGAAATGTAATTAACTCGGGTAGGGGTTTCTATTTGGCTGGAAGAAAACACTGACAAACAAAACTAAACTTCCCTTAAAAATCAGTTGTTTCGTAAAGGAAACCCAAGCATTATGGAGTGCTCCTACTGCCAAGAATAGTAAGTCACATTTTTACTCTGTTAAAAGCTACTGAACAACCAGCCATACTGCTTTGAAATTTGGGGAACACAATTTGCATTCAGTTTACGACTTCCCTCTTTTTCACTCTACCGCCCATTACATTTTTCCTTAACTTCTCATAGTGTGAGTCTTTCCATGTGAGACGATTTCTCTCTCTATGCTTCCCTCACTAAGAGAATGTCTTATCACAGCCACGACCCCCACCCCCCGCCATCCCCATTACTACGAGTCTCTGGACAGCCTGGTGAGCAGTCATCACAGCCTCGCTGCCCCAGGGCTTCTGCCACTGAAATGCAACGTCAGGCCCCCAAGACCTTGCTCAGGCGTCAAAACCTGAATCTGCTTTGACTGCTCGGTGACTGTGACGTGCTGGTTGCAGCACATTTTAAATATTACCTCTGCTTCTGTGAATCAGGGACTCAACAGTAGCAGGCAATATGCTTCGCACTTTAACTATATTACTTATTACAAAAAAAAAATCTGTGTATATTGGTATTAGCTCCATTTTACAGGCAGGAAAACGAGAACTCAAAGCTGCTAAGTGACTTGCCCACGATCACGTTGCCAGTAACCGGCTTGGCTAAAAGTAACACGGGGTTGTCTGATTCAAACGCCTGCACCATCAACCAGGGTGGGCCCTGCGTTTGTGGCGGTAGACGTGTTGTGGGCACTTTCGGTGCAAATATATATGCTCTTCCACTTGAGATAAAACAAAAGGCAAAGTGTTTTCACCAGTCTGGAGCCCGCTGCATTTGGGAGGGACTTCCTGGGGAAGGCTGGTAGCCACAGGGTAGAACATTTCATGATCAGCCCTCAAGGTTTGTCGGCACAAGTCTTGCTTCCACGTTGAACTCGGTTTAGAGATTTTGATGCTTCATGGAAGAATGTTTCCACTAAGGACGCAGCAGTATTTCCCCTGAGTTGGAATTCTGTTACCAGGCCATTCTGTTGCTCTGATGTCAGTCTATAAATAAGCCAAAAAAAGGGTTATGATGTTGTCCAGGTAACAGATTTTAGATGCCACGGGGCAGCTGGTTTGCTGTCAAGCTGTGGGGTCGAGGAGGAGCACAGATGGCATCCCTGGGGTTCCCTAGGGTGCACTTTTTTACTGCTAGGTTCAAGTAACAAGCAATTCAAGGCCACTGCAAGCCTGCCCAGCGAGAACCACGGAGGGTCGGCTCTGTCAGGACGGAAGGCCTGAGCTGTCCCGCTGTGGACAGACGGCTGATCAGTTCAGGTGCTGGGTGAAGACAGGAGTCATCTTTCGTTGTTACTAGATAAGAGAAATAATAAATCCATCTTGTGACTAGTGCCAGAGTTAAGGACTCTACACTACACACGTTGTCCTCCTTCCCATACGTGTGTGACTATTTCTATCCTCTCTCACCTTACCCACTGTTGATACAATGGGTTCAGCTACCTTTGTGGCTTAGGCAGCAGCTTGCCTAAACATGGATGGCATTCAGGCAGAAGTAAGGGAGCCAGAACAGCCAGAGATCACGGTGACACAAAATGTAATGTGATTTCGATGTCTCCTTTTGGAGATGAGGTGAGATATTTTGCTTGAAATAAGAGGCAGTCACACTATGACAGGCAAGAGCACTGCTTTGAAGTGCAAGGAGCACACACTGCTGTTGAACGAAGGGCTAGATTGTAGGTGATAACCACTTTTACCAGTCCATAATTGGCATGCCCCTTCTCGTTCGGCAGCTGTGTTTAAGTCTTCACGTGAGCCAGACTCCCCTTCTCCCCCAGAGAAACTGAGAAGCCAGCCTTTCTTGCAGCAAAAGGGCCTGAAAGGACTTAAGCCCTAATGTTTAGAGACACACTCTGACCGTGAAATGGGAGTTCGTGAGGTGGGATGTCAGTTGAGCTGTGGGAAACGCCGTAGACTCGGCTTTGGTGGCGGCGGTGGTGGTAGCTGCATTACCTTTCCAAATGCAACAGTGAGGAAGGTGACAGCCTGCATCCTGTAGGTCAGCATCAGTGGAGCAAGCTGGACAGTCCAGCGTCTGACAAGAGTGGCAGTGGATGGATCCCCTAGCGCACAGCTGCTCTTAACTACGAGTGTTCCCCAAGTAAGATCTTGAGGATACCTGGTGATTCCGTGTGCGACTTAACATCCTTTCAGTAAACTCCAGGCTTTTCTGTTGCTTGCAACACAAACTCTAGATGGCATGTTGGATTTTCCTGTTATATTTGGCCACTGCAGTACAGATGTGGAAAGATAACGTCACATTAAACACGCTGACTTTAATTTGCATCACAGGTGGGACCTCCTGCTACCTTCTCACTTTGAATTTTTACTAGAACTCTGAGTACATTATTAATGAATTCTCCAGAGAAATATGACAACATTCAGCTAAAGTTGAAAAATAAATTCTGATAAAATGAAATTAGTCCAGACTAGTGCTTTACTTTGTTTTTGTTTTCTGTCTGTTCCCAGTGACCATAAATGTTTAAGGTTCTTTCCTCCTTAATTTAAATCCCTGAGTTTGATTTCAAATAACATCCTGGTGAAAACAATTTTTATCCCTGCACAGTTGAGGCCTCCCATTATAATGAACCTGATTTTCAACGTGTGCAGCAGAATTTCCAATTAATAAGATGAAAGAATCTGTGTTTTCACCTCTTCCTTTTAACCAGAGCTCACCGATGATTCTGAAGGGCTAACTCACCACTGCTTCAGGGATCCGTGTTTCAGGTCTGCTGGCGTCTCATTACTGAAGTGGGTTTCATCACGTCCAGACTCATTATGAGCTCCCAAATATGACGCCGTCTTCAACGCTTTCTCTAGTATCTAGGGTGCTGTAACTGTTCATTAAGCAGCCACCTCTGACAGACTTGTGCTTTATTAAGTCACCCATTAATCTGCCCGCTTGTGGTCTGAATAACTTTAAGTTAATTTCTACTGACCTTGCTTTTCCTGTTTTATATTTTCAGCAATTTGTGTGCACAGTGATGACACAGTCATCACATTCTGTTATTGTTTTTATATCATCACTAGATTTTTTTCCCCTCATTCTTCTAAAAAGAAACACCTGCTTGGTATTTGGAGAACTAAAATATTATTAGTAGCGTCTCAAGAAAATGTCTTTAGGGAAGGATTAATTGGTTGGTTTGTGCCATGCTCTGATAAAATATATAACTGGAATCTCTATTTTTTTAGAAGTGAAATAGGAAGGGGCTCAATTCTGTGGACCCCTAATTTAAAAACCATTCGATTCCTTCTGGAAGCTTCTATAGTTAAGCAGTCTTCCTTACAAAATTACACATTTATTTAAAAGAGCTAAATCTTAGAAAAATGCAAGCAAGTAATTAGAAGAAAATAAAGATCATCCACAGTTTTGTGAGAAACAGCAAGAGATTCAGTTGCTGGCAATACAGCAGCAAAAAAACAGGTTAAAAAAATTCTGTCCTGATAGGATATACAATCTAACTGAGACACAGATACACAAATACACACACACACACATGCACAGCGTCTTAATCCATATTCTGGTAATAACATGCATGGTCAGAATTTTTTGTGTCATAAAATATTTAAATCAGTGTTTTTTAAAATTAAAATGAAATGGAGTAATTTAAAATCAACAACTTAAAAGTATACAATTCAGTGGCACTTGATACATTCACATTGCAACCACCACTTCTATCCAGTTTCCACAACATTTCATGGCCTCAGAAGAGAAACCTCATACTCATCAAGCAGCCACATCTTATGCCCCCACCCCTTTGTTTCTGGAAAACTCCAATCTGGTTTTTGTCCCTGAATATTTCGGAATATATCCTTAATATTTCATATAAATGGAATTATGAAATTGTGATATTTTGTGTCTGACGTTTTATTCTTTCACTTGGCGTAATGCTTTTGATGCACATCATGTCTTAGCACATATCATTACTTCACTTTTTGGACTGAAAACATTCATATATATATACACATACACATACACATAACATTTTACCTGTTCAGCAGGTGATGGGCATTTGGACATTTGGGCTGTTTCCACCTTTCAGCTATTGCTAACAATCTGCTGTGAAGATTCATGTACAAGTAATTGTTTGAGTCCCTATTTTAAATTTTTAGGGGTTCACATCTAGGAAGAGAATTATTGGATCATTAAATAAGCCAGTATTTAACTTTTTGAGAAACTACAAGACTGCTGTGCTAGTGGCTGTAGCGTTTTACATGCCCATCAGCGATGCACAAAATGTTCAGTCTCTCCATGACCTTGTGAGCACTTGTTGTCTTCAATTTGTAAAAATTATAGTCATTCTAGTGGGTGTGAAGTGGTATCTAATTATGGCTTAGATCTGCATATAGTGAACTTTTTTCTTGTCTATTGTCTACGTGTGTACCTTCTTTGGAGAAATATCTATTTAAGCCCTTTGCCCGCATTTTTTCTATTGAGTTATGGTCAGTTTACAGTGCTGTGTCCATTTCCAGTGCTCGGCACATGCTTCAGTCACACGTGAACATACACATACTCATTGTCACACTCTTCTCCACCGCGCCCACTTTTCAGTTGTGTTTTGTCTCTTTTCTTTCTGAGTCAAGCTTTCTTTAGTTATTCCAGATGCTAGAGCCTCATCTGATATCCGATTTTGCAAGTAGCAGGCTGTTTTTTTTTTTCACTTTCTTGATAATGTCCTTTGATACATAAAAGTTTTTAATTTTGATGAAGTCCAATTAACCTATTTTTTTCTCTTGTTGCTCATGATTTTGATGTTATAAAAGAAGCAATTGCCAAATCCGAGGACATAAAATTTACTGCTACGTTCTGCTCTAAGAATTTTAAGCTTTACACACAGGTATTTGATCCATTCTGAGACTTTTTTTTTTGTATATCATTTAAGGTAGGAATGCAACTTCATTCTTACTTGTCTTGAAAAGTCTTACTATCCCCTTCATTTTTGGAGGAGATTTTCCTGGATATAGAAATCTTGGTTGACAGATTATTCTTTCAGAAATTTAAAGCTCCTGTCCCGTTTGCTTCTGGCCTTCTTGGTTTACGATGAGAAGTTGACTGTCAGTCTTACTGAGAAACTCTTGTATGTGACACTCATTTCTCCTTTGTTTCAAGATTCTCTTTTTGTCTTTGACTTTTTTTCATTTCTCAGTTTTATTAGGTAGAATTATTATAATCTGACAGCACATATATAATGTATCGCATGTAAATACATATACACAACATACTGCACATATTTTTAAAATTTACATATATGTACTGTTCATTGTTTCTAAGAACATTTAGAGCTTTAGCTTTTTAAACTTACATAGTTATCAAAGGAATAAAGCCAACCACAAAGTAAGCATTAATTGAAAAAGATACATACACCCTGCTATGATTCACAATTGCCAAGACATGGGAGCATCATGAGTGCACATCAGTAGCTGAATGGATAAGGAAGATGTGGCACACATACGTAATGGAGTATAACTCACCTGTAAGAAAGAAGGATATTCTGCCATTTGCAGCCCTTCATTCACTTTTTTTTTTTCCACTTCAGAAACCAGAATTTTATAACTGGCATAAATATTCCCACTGCATCAAAAAGAAAAAAAAATGTAGAAATAAACTTCACCAAGGAGGTTACCTATGCTCTGAAATCTGTAAAACATTGATTAAGGGAATTAAAGATGAAACAAAGAAATGGAAAGACATCTTGTGCTCTTGGATTGGGACAATCAACATCATCCAAAGAGCTGCACCACCCAAATCAACCTGTAGATCCAGTGCAACCCCTGTCAAAACACTCCCGACATTCCTCACAGAACTAGAGCAGACGAATTCCAAAACGCGTACGGAACCATAACAGACCCTGAAGTGCCAAAGCACTCTTTTATGAGCCTCTTTCTTCTTCTCTTTCTTCTTTCTGTTCTCTTCTCTCATGGTTTGATGACTGGAGAAGTTCCTTTAACGTCTGTTGTAAAGCTGGCTGGCGGTGCTGGGTTCTCGTAGCTCTTGGATCTTGGTGACGCTTCTGATCTCTCCATCAAGTCTGAAGGAGAGCCGTGCTGGGTAGTGTGTTCTTGGTTGTAGGTTTTTTCCTTTAATAACTTTGAACATCTCGAGCCGCTCCCGTCTGGCCTGTGGAGCTCCTGCTGAAAAATCGGCTGATGGCCTTACGGGAGCTCCCTTGTTACTTGTTGCTTTTTTCTTGCTACTTTTGATACTTTCTCCCCATCCTAGGTTCCTGTCAGTTTGATGGCTGCGAGCCTCGGTGTGCTCCTCTTTGGGCTGATCCCGTGTGGGACTCCCTGTGCTTTCAGGACCCAGGTGACTGCTTTGTTCCCCACGCCGGGGACGTTTTCAGTGATTATTTCTTCAAAAATTTGCTCAGGTTCTCTCTCTTCTCTCTCTGGGACCCCTATAATGTGACTGTTAGGGCCCTTCATGTTGTCCCCGAGTTCTCTTAAACTATCCTCATCTCTTTGCATTCTTCTGTTCTGCAGAAGTGATTTCCACTCATCTGTCTTCTAGCTCACTGAGCCCTTCTTCTGCCTCATTTAGTCTATTCTTGGTTCTTTCTAGTGTGTTACTCATTTCAGTGATTTTATTCTTCAACTCTGTCTGGGTGTTCTTTGTATTTTCCAGCTCTTTGCTAACAACTTCACTCTGTGCATCTGTACTCCTCGTGAGTTCTCTGAACTTTACCATCATTACTTTAAATTATTTCTCAGATACATTGCCCATCTCCTCATCACATTTCTTCTGGGATTTTATCTTGTGCCCTGGCCTGGGAGATGTTCCTCTGCCACCTCAAATTGTTTATCTCTCTATTTGTATTTTTAGGCAGGTTGGTTATGTTTCTCTCCCTTGAAGAGGTGGCCTCTGTGGGGGACGTCCTGTGCGTCCCAGCAGTGCACTCCTCTCTTGTCCCCCAAGGCCGGGTGTCCAGCGGGTCCTAATGCAGTCTGGCCTGTGTTTGTGGGCTCCTTCCAGAGGCTTTGGGATTGTCATTTTCTTATTTCTGGTACCTGCCCCTGGTGGGTGAGGCTGGACTAGAAGCTTATGCAAGTTTCCTGGCAGGAGGAGCTGGTGCCTACCCACTGCTGGGTGAAGCTTGGCCCTGGACCTCTGGTGGGCAGGGCTGTGTCTAGAGGCCTTTGTGGCTCAGGAGGTCTGCTGCTGGGTGGGGCTGTGCTCCCACCCTGTGTGGTGTTTGGCCTGAGGCTTCCCTACAGGCTGTTGGGTGGGGCTGGGTCTTGGTGCTGATGATCCAATCAAGATGTCAGCCTCCAGGAAAGCTCATGTAGATTAACACTCCCGGAATGTCCGCCACCGCTTTTATGTCCCCTGGGTGAGCCGCAGCCATCCCCCACATCCCCAGGAGACCTTCCAAAACCAGCAGGCAGACCTGCCTCAGGTTCCTGTGAAGTCACTGCCTCTGCCCTTGGGCCTCTCACACGCAAGACTCTATGTATGCCTCCCAGGAGAGTGAAGTCTTTTTCCCCCACTCCCATGGGGCTCCTGGAGTTAAGCCCCCTGGCCTTCAAAACCAGATGTCCTGGGGACTCCTCCTCCCACTGACAGAACCCCGGGCTGGGGAGCCTGACGTGGGGCTCAGAGCGCTCACTCCTGTGGGAGGGCCTCTGCGACTTAATTATTCTTCAGCCTGTGGGTCGCCCACCCAGGAGGTACGGGGCCCAGTTATACCATGAGCACGCCCCTACTCCCATCCTGCTGTGGTTCCCTCTTTACGTTTCCACTTGAAGATGATCTTCTTTGCGAGGTTCCATTCTTTTTTTCGATGGTTGTCTAGCAGTCAGTTGTGGTTTCACTGTGGTCTTGAGTAGAGGCAAGCTCGTGGTCCTACCACTCTGCCATCTTGACCAGAAATCTTTTCCTTGACTTTTGACAATCTGATTTTAATGTGGCCATGTGAATCGTTTTTAGTTTATCCTTGCTGAAAGTTGTTGAGCTTCTTTGATATGTAGATTCATGTCTTTTATCAAATATGGGGAGTTTCCAGCCATTATTTCTTTGAGTGTTCTTTCTGCCCTTTTCACTCTCTCCATTGTCTTTCTGAGACTCCCACCATGTACGTGTCAATGTGATTGGTTGTATCCCACAGGTCTCCTAGACTGGATAAATTCAACTGACCTGTCTTCAAGCTTGCTGATTCATTTTCTCCCTGCTTAAATCTGCTATTAATATCATCTGCTGAGTTTTTCACTTCAGTTATTGTAGTTTTCAGTTCCAGAATTTCTGTTTGCCTTTTTTTTTTAAATTTTGATTATGGTAATAATACATGATATAAAATTTGCCATCTTAACCATTTTCAAGTGTACAGTTCAGTGGTATTAAGCTCACTCATAATGCTATACATTGATCAGCACCATCCATCTCTATTTTATCTTATAAAACTGACCTTCTACACCCATTTAAAAATAATTTCCTATGACCTCATTCCTCCAGTCCCCAGAAACCACCCTTTTACTTTGTCTCTGTGCTTTTGATTACTCTATGTACATCATGTAAGTGGAATCAAAGTTTGTCTTTTTGTAACTGGTTTATTTCACTTAACATTATGCCATCAAAATTCATTCACATTGCAGCAAGTGTCAGAATTTCCTTCCTTTTCAAGGCTGAATAATATTCTACTATACGTACCAGTGAACTTTGGGCTGCTTCCACATTTTAGCTACTGTGAATAATGCTACTATAAACATGTAGATACAAAAATATTTTCAAGACCCTGATTTTCATTCTTTTGAGTGTAAGCCCAAAAGTGGAATTGCTAAATCATATAGTAGGGGAAGCTGCCATACTGTTTGCTGCAGTGGGTGTACCATTTTACATTCCAGACAACAGTGCCAAGGGTTCAGATTTCTCCATATCCTCTCCAGCACTTGTTATTTTGTTTGTTGGTTGGTTGGTTGGTTTGGTAATAGTCATGCCAATGAGTATAAAGTAGCATCTCGGCATACTTTGATTTGCATTTCTTTAATGATTAATGATAGTGAGGATCATTTTATGTGCTTATTGGCCATTTCTACAAGTTCTTTAGAGAAATGTCTATTCAATAGTTTGCTCATTTTTTAATTGAGTGGCTCATTTCACTGTTGTTGAGTTTTAGGTGTTCTCTATATATTCTGAATATTAATCCTTTTTCAGATATACGATTTTCAAATATTTCCCCATTATGTGGGTCTCCATTTTACTCTGTTGATATTGTATTTTGATGCACAAAATTTTTAAATTTTCATAATATCCAATTTGTCTGTTTTGTCTTTTTTTGCCTCCTCCTTTGGTGTCATATCCAAAAAAATAATTGCCAACTTTGAAGTCATGAAGATTTCACCCTGTTTTCTTCTAAGGGTTTTATAGTTTTTGTTCTTACATTTAGGCCTTGCTACATTAAAAATTAATTTTTGTATATGGTGCTAGGTAATGGTCCAACTTCATTTTTTTTTTTGCATGTGAGTGTCCAGTTTTCCTCGTACCATTTGTTGAAAAGACTATCTTCCCCCAATGAGTGGTCCTGATGCCCTTGTCATTTTGTCAATAATGTCATTTGACTATATATGCTCTGTATGCCTCTATTTATTCCATACTGTTTTAATTACTTTAGCACTGTAATAAGCTTTGAAATCTGGAAGTATGAGTCCTCTTCAAAGCTGTTTTGGCTATTTGAGGTCCTGAATAGTTGTAATCTTTAGCCACAGGCCACAGCAAGTTGTCCACCTGCCTTACAATGTTTTCTTGAAATGCTTACCACTTTCTACACTGTGTGAGTTTTACATTAAGCAAAACCAAATCAAGTCAGTCTCCAGGCAGCCCCAGGCAGGTCAGAACAGAGAAACAATTATTTGAGAACAAGGTCTATTCTGCTCCCTATGAAACTGGGGACCAGGGCTCCATGCTGTGAAGTAAGCTGCCATCTTCAAGATTGTCCTTAAACCCAGGAATGGGTGGGACAAGAGCAACAAAAGCACCACAAAGCTTTTCTACTTTTTAAAATTGCCATTTTCTTTATTCAGTGTTGACTTGCTTGCTGAAATCCTTTAACTGTTTGCCAGCATTCTGACACAACTGATTCTAACAGTTTCTGCTTAAGTTTTCAGTGTTTCTGCAGATGGATTCTTGGAGCTACCTACTTTGCCACATGACTGGTGGCCTATTCTAAAACATTTTTTAAACAAATGTAATTATCTATTCGTAGAATATTTGCAATACAATGTAGGTAACATATGGTTATTTTTCTCCTTTAGTTCGTATCTAATTTGCTGAGAAGAGCGTGCGGAAGCTGTTCAGATATACCTGGGTTGACATATCTGCAACGAAAT